TTGTTGTTAGAATTCGAGTTATAACACAGTAGCAGGGAGTTATTTGAGACCATATTGAAGTGTTTGTAGATATCTGTGTTGAATGCGTCAGGGGTCGTTATTTCGTTCGCTTTGTACAATGTGACATTTTCATTCCACACGTCCTCCGCCGTCCTTGTTGACGCAATGATCACACAGCACGTTGCCATCGGAAGTCTGAAAAAAAGTAATTTCTCTGGGTGTAGATGTGTGTTATATACGTGATGTGATGTGATGTGATGCAGTCATGGGAAACATTGTGATGCGCTGTCGGTAGCCGCGCAGATCACATATCCAGAATAGATTTGGGAAACAAAATGGAAAAAGGAGATTTAATAAAAATCTGAGACTCCGGAGAAAAAGCGGCGTTCCTTTGAACTGCGGGGGATTCTCGAAAAAAGATGAAATTAACTTCATCGTTTTTTTTTTTCACCCCGAGGAGACAATGAGGGGAAATGAAGGCGAAAAACGGAAATCATTGTCAACAAGTCAAAAAACAATGTACCATCAACATTTTGGTAACGTGAAATTTGTTTCTGTCGTTAAGACGGCGACCAGGTTGTGAGAGGGTCTGTTGAGAAGGCTTGAGTGGATATCCTGGAGGTGAAATCGACAGATGAGTCGCAAATAGTCATTTAATTACAGCTACAAACTAGGGTAATACGCGTGAAAATGAGGATAACGCCGAAGATTTCAGGGTTTCCTGGCGGTGTCTAACATCTTTAATGTCATTGTTCACCCGTACCTCTATCTCAGTGTAATCAATTCCCACCGAGATTAAACATTATGTATTCTGATTTTGTTTGGTTTTACGCGCTTTTTGCTTTGTCTTATCTCGAAGACCCAATTATATCAGACGCCGCGTACCGGGTTGACTATAACTCGTGTGTCATTTTGATTATTGCCTGCAATCTTAAGTTAGAATATACAGATGAAAAATAAAACGGTTTTAGCCTCTGGCTATCAACGACCTAAATCGTTAATTTCTATTCATATTTCCATTTCAAAGACGACTAAACGAGGACGCGAAAATTTGTCTCATTATCGCGACTTTTCGTCTCTCCTTCACCGAAATGTCAATGAGTTTATGCACATGCCTTGGCAATGCGTCATATAATATGAATACTAACTTTCGAGGGGTATATTTTGAAAAGTAATGAATATAATTATTTCGAATTTGACTTATCCTCGAATGGTGGCAAGTAATATTTTATTCAATGAACTAAGGGGCCGTCATCATTACAGTCTGAATGGTGATCACGGCGTGCAACAAAACTCATAACAAGATGCAGTAATACAATGAAGAGATAAAGTATGTATTGGTAAATTGTCCACGTCAACATCTAAGGTTGTCATGGCGTTCAGTATTTTAAGAAGCGTCGTCAATTATGGACTATAAAAATGGGAATATGTTTATAGCCAATCTCAGAGAGAAAAAAAAAAACATTTCTTTTCGAGTAACTAAGCACAGTACATCATCGAGTTTCTACAACATTGAATAACAACTCCGAGCTTAGGGAGTATATATATTTTGTTCGCATTTCGAGTAATTTAACCAACACGATAAACAACTTTGGTAATATATAGACAGCCTGTCACATTCATTATGCACATAATGTACATTACTGTAATAGTATAGAATTTCATAGCCATAACACATTGCAGATGCATTGCAGTAATTTGAATATTGTCTCTGAATGTGCAAGAAATCAGAAACCAACTTACGTCCCTTAAAAGTGCGTTAACGTGCTGTCATTTTATTGACACCACGACCCCTGGCTACTACTAGCGCTAAAAACGGCGTTAAACAAAATGTCTATATACCTAGTATATCGACTGCATACGCTTTCAATGCTTTTTATTATTATCGACGTACGACTATAGGATCGCTCGTTTCCGGAACTAACCACATCCATTACAGCAAGTAGTCTATCTAGTAACGCTAAAATCAATATGTTTTCGTTTTTAATAAAACATGGTATACCTGAATAGTCGAATCGATTGAACACTTAACGGATTCATTTAAAACTGCCCTCCCCGATGGTTAGCAAAGTGATTAAAATTCTATTGCCTGCAAAAAGTGTCTTAATGACGCGTATTGAGTTGTAGATACAAGTAGACCACCCGCCTCTCACCTTGCGGGCAGGTAACTATTTCAAAATTAACTAGTGAGCATAAAGCTCGGCTAAAGGTGTTTTTAATCTACTGTCCCTCACTTCAAGGCATTGTGAAATGTATGCCGTATACCATAGCAGGCGGAGTCGTGTCGTTTGGATAATTTAAATAAGTCGCGTGTGAACTGAGAAACTTTGTCATAAATTAAAGACGTGCCATTACACTGTTTCGCTGCATCAACGAACACGGCACATCAAGTCATAACAAGCTTTTTGACAGGATACCGAGGAGCATTTCGTGACGTAGACGTATCGATTTACATCTCAAATTGTGAAGACAAAAAAAAACATGGCGACCTTAATCTCATAACCAGTCTCGCCCGGACGTGCCTTGTAAAGTTCGTGCTGCGCGACACTGGTGTAATTTACGTAATACTTATCCTTTTTAAAAGCAATAAGAAAGAGCGCCGATTTCCGCCGATTTCCTCGTGTTTCTTAGCAACCACGGTCTGTGAAGTCTCTACTTAAACACACTCACAAATAAGTTCTTCTTCAGCGTGTGCAAAATGGAGCAACATTTGAAACATGAGAAACGCAGCCTTATCTATAAGTCAGTATTTATTCTCTCAATATGTGCATTCGCATTGGCGCGTATTAAATACACGTAATGAGACATACCGCGTCATATCTCCGAAATGAGCATGTAATTAATTTCACATCAACTCTGTGATTGCAGCAAACGAGCATGAAATTGGCGGGCTGTTGGAATAATGTGAAATCAATTCACAGAACTATGAGTAATGTCGCAGTTCGGAGCACAGAACGATTTCAAGTTGTTTTAATTTATCGTTGGTTGCAGTGTCCCTATTACTCTGAATATGACACGTTGAATTGACATTAGATCCATTGGTGTGAAAGTTCCGAAAAATTTCCACGGGGTATTAGTATAAATACGTTTTAATATTGCGTCAGGATAAACGATAAATAAATACAATTCCTGCTCCACCGTATGTGCAAAAAGTCTTCGGATGAGTTATGCGTGTACACTGAATACCCGCTATGGTTTGTTTTATAATACTGTTACTGTATCGCTTAGTAATTTAGTGAACAAAGTGTACGTTAAATCAATCTTCGCAAAGCACTATGGGAATTTGTAAAGTGATATACAAGCAATTCCACTGAGTCATCAAATGCATATCAGGAACGCCCATTCCTTATCTATGCACAATACCTTTAAATTGTTGAAAGATTAGAATAATGCTATCTATTTTGCTGGAAATCACTTGACGACGGAACACAGCAAAGTGACCCGGTGCTAAGTACCTTTGAAACGTTTTAAAATGAGGAGTTGTGAAAAATGCGTAATTTATTTTGCAACACGAAACTCCACTTACCAGGTTATAATCCAAATGGAGGAGTTCTGTTATATAATCGCAATCCTGACTAAATATGGTTATGCGACTGTCAATCCATGATTTAACATAAAGATCAATTCTCAGTTTCGCTAAGATTCATGTATGTATTATTTCTATGAGTCGTAACAAGATTCCGGGATAAACAATTAGTCTGGCATTCTTGGGCCTACTCCCTTGCCAGACGGCGTTTATCAACTAGAGGTATTTCCACAGATACAGCGGATGTTTAGATACAAATGGACATTGAATTTGATATTGTGTTGAGTGGTTAGTTTACACCGATCTCTGCTCACTGTTACTTCCTCTTTTCCAGGGGAGATACTGTTGCTTCTTTGGGGAATTAGGCTGAGTTTTATCGTCAGAAAAGCGCCCTCGGAGTTCAACGAGAGCAAGTTCATCACATGGGCAATATATAACGAAACTTTGCTTTCGATGTTTTTAAACATAGCGTTGTAAGTATTCTTGCCAGTTACGAATTCACCGTCTATAGTTCACCCAATTGCACGATTAGTGCACAGGGACTGTGATTAGTGTAAGTTATAATCGTGGATAGGGTAATCCACTTACACCTCTTGTCCATGAACAACCCAAACCCCTTAATATGTTACACGAAGAAAAAGTCCCGCCCCGTACATGTGTCCATTTGGGGTGTCAATTTCTGTTGTCGCAATTTACCAACGAAAGGAAATATAAGGCGTGGAGTTTGTTATGCAACATCTTCACGGTTTTTACCAGCTCTTAATACAAACCTACAACAAAAAGCATAGATTTGCCGGCGATATTCAAAACGTAAACGGGGCAATGCATAATTATTAGTCTTTAGTTTCATCCAGTAAAAATTCTTTTTGTAATAATGTGCCCAAGCGTACAAACACACAGTGCATTTGGAAGTTGTGTTTTTATTCTATTGTGTACTCAATTGTAACTGTTTATTTTTCAGAATTTTTCTCCAGGATCCCGCCAATCCTGATCTACGATATATTATTTTATTTGTACATAGTCAGCTAACAACAACAGTCGTACTTGGATTGTTGTTTGGCAGTAAGGTGAGTAATCAAACAGACGTTATCTGTCGACAACTATAATACAGGCCCACAGGAATCCTTTCGGCCGTCATGCTCACACTCTTATAATCTAAGGCTTAAATAATAAATTACGAAATATGTCAAGCTCATACTGCATCGTGTACGCCATATTGAGGTGGCAGTAGCCAGGAATTTGCGATAATCCGTTTTTTTCGCTTGTTGAACACGTGGTAGCTGTCTCTATCATATGACACATCTACTACATGCAAATAATTCCCATAATGCACTGCAAGTTTATAAACAATTCATATCGCTTTTAAAGTTTTAAACAATTTAATATTAATCTCGCTCCAATTAAATGTACATATACGAGAGCAGATAAGAACTATGCGACCTGTTTTTTTTTAAAAAGATGCACCGTATTAACCCGGATTAAATAACAGCGATACGCTCTATCTCGCCCTCTAGCTTGGTTCTTTGTGGGGCTGTAAAATTCGCCGCACAATGCTGGTAATATGGCAAAGCAGCGAGACCTCCATTATAGCGCTCCGCTGTATTAATAATATGCATTGCGTGAGTTACTCTCTGAAATTACCCGGGTCCGTATTTTAATAACCCCACATCAATATTTTCTCCACTATCTAATTTAGAAGACAGTGAGTCAGGAATTACCCGCGGTGTTCATTTCATTTCAAGTACCATATGCTGTACGGTTCTTTCGAAATTACTACATTAACACCGTGTCAGAGTTCCCTGTGTCGCATAATTGTATTTTCTTTAATATTTCTGTTTTAGAAGAAATTATATCTTATTCGGCTTTCAGAGAGCGTCCACTTAGACAGGCGAGGCTATTAAGGCATATTGCATGAGGTTATCCGGCGGCCTTTCAGTATTCCGTTGACCCCCTTATCAGATATGCATTATCCCTACGTCAAGTATGATGACATTAATTACTATACTTTATCATTGTTTGATCATTTGCATCCCTCGTGGGACACAAAATGATACAAGCTCTGTTTCGGTGCACCCACTGAGTCAACTATTATGTTGTTTCAAAATTGGCACTGATTTAAAAATGTGTAAATGATAGATTTTTAATGTATTCGCTGAGGCCGCTCTGGGATGTAGTGAGATGATGGAGTGCTTCCCTTTAGAAAGTTTTTCAAGCGAGTTATGTCGAGCATGAATGCTCATTTATAACCGCGCTGTCGTGTGTACGCTCAGTTGCAACACCCAATGATCACACCGGTCACACCAAGCATCGCGCCGCAACGCGTGATCGCATCCGCCATGGCACCGCAACGCAACGCATCGCATCGCATGATCGTATTCGTCGCCACTTCCCATGATCGCATCCGTCACGGCGTGACACAGCGCTGCATCGCATGATCGTATCCACCCGCGCCGCGCCGCGCCATGTCACATGATCGTAATCGTCACGTCACGGTGCATCGCAGCATCGCATGGTCGCACTCGGTGACTGCAGCCCAACGCACCGCATCGCATGATAGCATCTATCATCGCACCACGCCATGGCGGCACTGGAAGAGAATAGTGATGCGCCTAAAATAGACGTTAATCTGATCAGCATTTTGTAAAAGAATCGTAGTTAAGACTGCATTAAGCTGCCAATCAAGGCATCTAAAGAATACAGCTCCAATAGCCAGCAGCGATCAGCACATGTGAATTGAAGTCCAAAAACTCGATATGACTGACCAATTTCACGGTTAATTAGTTTCTTGGATGCATCCAGGGTGACAAATTGTGTTCATTTATTTTGTAAATGAAGTAATACTGTTTAGGGCGATGCTTCCTTCTCTTTTTAATGAATCATATCCCAGAATGTTAGCCACCAAATTGTTCGGTAACGCGCTGCATGGTGGGATTGTTATGCAGCGCAATGAATACTAATAACCCGATATTATCGAGATTCGTTTTGATAGCTTTTATTTCTTTAGGCAAAATGCAAAATAATTTCAAATATCAGGCACCATGTGAGGCTTCTAGTAAATGAAACAAGCCATTTATTTTACAAATGTAGAATGGGTTTATTCTTGTTAGAGGAATAAAAGCAATTATGTCAATGTTTGTCGTGACGACCTATCTCTATACGGTGCTTTCATTTATTGCAAGTACAGGCTAGTATTCTATATCTAGGGGAATTGTTCGACTCAGTCGGTATCGCTGTTATGCAAATCAACATAGCACTGATCGGTAACCCATAGATTGGAACCATTTCGACCAATCAGTGTCCAATATAACATATTATATTGCATGGTGGTGCAAGATAAAGGGCGGTAGTTGTCGCGCCACGCATATGCATGCTCGAGATATATGGGTCTCAAATAAACAAAAGCGGCAATTTTGGCTGTTGCGCAGATCAACGAGTACAAACTGAGATGTTATCATGCTTTAATTAGGTATTTTTAGGCAACTGGAAGGTATCGAAGGAGTCCCCGGCGGTAATTAGTGAAGTCGCGCCCAAGTCAAACTTCATACTTGTGATTTCCATTAGGAGAGCGCATTGCATTATGGGAAAATCAATGTTTATCAACACAAATATCGAGCATGCGCAGCGCGACGACCACCGCCCTTTAACTTGATAATTATCACGTGGTCCGGTATGGGTGATCGCGTGGTTCCTTATTTCGACATCTCATCTGAAAGGTTCCATGTGTATGCATCGCTGGTTACAGTGAAGGTGTGATACAGTGAAATATGTAGGACTTTGATACTCATCGACCTAGCCGTTTTACGTTATAGTCGTTTTACGTCATAGTCGTTTTACGTTATATAGCTACATTCCGTCTTTCGCCTAACCTATCACACATATTCGCGCATTTATCCCGCACCACGTGTATCGCATTCGCGTCACGCATCCACCATGACGCAACTTGTCGCACTTACATCGCACATTGCCATCGAGATTTTTCACCGAATCACACCTGGTAAACGAATATACAGGCCAAAACCATACTGTGGCGGTGTTTTTGTTTTCCCAATATATATTAATTCGCCACTGTGGTGGCTAAAATGTGCAATACAGATATGCAATTCAAACGTAATGGAAAGGAAATAAATACGCGATCAGAATGCGAAAATAATGACAGGTTGTGCCAAAGCTGTGCTGCTTGTCATACCAGGAGACACGACATGTCAAAGGCCAGTCCAAATGTCGTTTTATGATACATAATTTCTAACTTTCCTCTGAAGTGATTAATATTGTACCCTGGAACACGCAGACAAGTTGGCGTCTTTTTTTTAATTTTACTAATCACCGATTCGATCGGACGATTGCAAATGTTTCGTTGTCCTAGAATTATTTATTTTATGTGCGAAAATTATATCTCTTTCGATGTTATCGATTGCACCCGTTTATCTTTACATTAGCATCCAAGATTGCGAGGTTGTTTCTCCTCGAAAGGGTCAAACATTCAACCTATCTAGCTATTGCTTTTTCCATCGTGGTTGAAATATATAATTACATGGTACGATAAATACATTTTGAAGCTAAGATAAGATCGACCATGATCTCGACTTGATACCGAGGGTTCGGAGAGTTGGATAAACACGGTTCAATGTGATAATATGTATGTGTTTATAAGACGATCGGTGAGAAAGAGTTTAACATTATTCTTTGGAATTATAACGCACATTATAACGGACCTGAAATAAAATTGGAACTATCAAACGTTGACATAGAATATTTACTTGACATTGTTTTTTCTCGTATTTCTTTACAGATGTATTTGGTGTATAAATATCAAGGTAAGGGAGGAAAGCATGACTCCTGTTCGTCCAAACGAACTTTAGCTGTAGGTCGAACTTGCGACAAGTGCCATAAGAGTTATATAGGAGAGTGCCATGTTGATGCAGTGAAAAAATTACAACCACGTGAGCCAACGATGGATAGATGCGATGTCGAGGTATCCAATCAGTTGCAGTCTATCACACTCAGCCACGTCAAATCCACCACCCTGCCCACGTGCCACGACTGCATAATCACCATCCTCGTTCCCAGCAAAATTGTTGCCCCAGTATTCAAAAAAAATGTAGTGTTGTGCATATCATGTGTTTGTTACCCACCTTTTCCAGATATTATTGTTATGATTTTGTTATATGCCATAACTTTTTTTTTCCCTCGTCTCCATTTTTTTCTCTCACCAGCAACCTTAAGTGGTGCACACCCATCACAGTCACCTAAAGTGAAAAGAGTATGCACCCGACTTTGAGTTCATTTTAATTTGTGAGTTGGGGAGTCAGAAGGTATTTCAAGGCATGGTCCGATTCCTGCATGTCACCATTCACAACAAATATTTAAATCTTACTAGAAAATAGATTATTTATTTATGTATTCTTTCTTTTACTGTAATAACGTTATTATTATTAATAATGATGATAATAATAATAATATTAATAATAGAAATAAGTATAGCAGTATGGATCATAAACTTTAGCGTATTTTAATGTCAAGTCTAATGATTGTAGATGTGTTATGTTATGTACAACTTAACTCGTTTGTATACCTAACTATATTTAGTGTGTGTGTGTAGTTTCTGTGTGTCACAAATGTTTATATTCTGTGCACTTTTTTTCTCTATATTAAACCGGTAATTTCAGTGTGTATCCGTGGACATGTCATACGTCGTAGCTATGGTTACTATTTATTTCGTATATTTGTTGATTTGTCATTTTGTTGTATAATTCTATGTAATTTTACTAACTTGTTAACGTGGTTTATTCCCCGCGTTCATTCATGTACGGTTCTACCTTATCGTTCTTTCCCGTCCCTCCAATACTGTTACAGTATCACCCGATTAGAAATCCCGCCCTCAACCGCGTCTTTCTTACTTTAACCCCTGTCCAGAATTCTTATCGCATCTATGTGTTTCGTGAATTTGAACGCATTTCCTTCTAGTAACCCATTCTCAAGCCATTTTTAGAAACCTCAATGCATTTGCCTGAACAGAGATTATATTCAAAAATATAACTGATCAATTTTGAATTTTCTATCAATTTTTAAGTAAGTGCCAATGACGTCATAATGTTAAACGTTTCTGTAATCTGTTTCCTTACACCAGTCCACCTTCAATGTTATTTCACGTTGACGTCATTTCCGCTGGTCGGCACACTCGTGTGTAAGTCTGTGTTTCAATTGATAAACGGTTGTCCATGGTTTCTCTGGTGTTTGTCACACGTATCGTTCCATGTCCACATGTAGCTGTTACGTTTCCCGTTGCGCTGTCCATAATCGTCAGTCTTTGTAATTCTGTAATTACGTTGCCAACCAGTCTCGATAAAAGACTACAATGTCTCAATGCAAGGACCGGACCGCCTTCCCGAATGATGCATGCGACCCAACGCATATACTACATTGTGTAAGATTCCCCCAATTCACAAAGCATTCTCGCCACCCCTTCCTCTTAAGTTATCTCCAAATGAAAATACACAACTCTTGTGTCGGTGCATAGTGATTCCAAATACCCGGGAAACCAGGCATTACCCGTAATTCATTTATTTTCACCATTTTATCGGGGACAACTTTAAGGTTGCATCGTGGTAATAGCATGCATTTTTAAAAAGTAGATAGTCACATTAACTTTACCCTTAGAAGCTATCACACTTATACGCTGACAACTAGCCATGTATGTTAAAAGCTCTGCCTATACTCGTTACGCTAGTGTGATAAACTTATTTGTAACCCCAAATTGAATAGAGGATTGTATCTAAATGTAAGATATGGATTCTGAATCATTTTTAATGGATTCAAAGTTTCATGTTATTGTTACATGTCCTTTCTATTTTCCTCGGTATCTTTATTTTAAACGTCTTTAAAAGTTCGTTATAGTTAGTTGTAACTTCTTTAAAAGTTTGTTTTAGTTATCCCATTGCACGAAAATTGATTTTTTTTCATAGGTGGCGTCTTGTAAGCTATAACGCGGAATTCAATAAAGCTTAAAACGAACAGCTAAATCTATCCAACCGGCTAAGGAAGCATATTATAAATAGCGATTTTTAAATCCCAATTTTCCCTCCTTTGCATGTATAAACAGGTAGCATCATGTGTACGATTATTGGCCGTAAACACCAACGTTCCACGTTCTGTGCCGATTTTTCTATCACAGGAAACAACAGTTAGTAGCGGCGAAGAGGACATGGGAATACCAGAACATTGTCCACACATGCTGGGTCTAGGCCGGTAATATAGCGATCACAGTTCCCTATACTTGAGCTTAGTATTTTGTATGTGTGGCGTAGATAAGGATTTTTTTTTTTATATTTAATTTGTTAGTCTGCGTCACCGGTGCCGGGCAAAGGATACCAGGTCACTCCAAGACATACACACGTCACGTTCCCTTGGCAGTAAATTGTTACGTAATGTCATATATACTCGTAATGTTTTATCAGTAATGACAACTATCTTTAGATATTAATTCCTAATGAGGAATGCGATATTTGTTTTGACGATTGAAATTAGTAGTGATTGCATGACATACTAGAAGACAAAAATAAACGCTGTACTTTGTTAACCGTTCAGTCACGCGTTAAATGATTCTAGTGCATTGTGATCACATTTCTGTAAAGTGTGAAAAGGGACGAGACTTGTCTTGGAGCGATCTGCTGTTACTTACTTCTAGCTTTACTGACTACTGCCTACTTCATTTCTGACCCCTTTAGGATGAATTCCAGAGACTTTATGCGCAGCTGGAACGACTTAAGACATTGAACATGGCGACCGGTAATCCGCATCTTGGAGAAACTATCGCTGCGATGACAGACGCCGCCTTGGCGACAACGTCTTACATATCGGCGGGAGAAGAAGTCGCCAATATTATACGAGAGAAATCCTTACAGGTACGACAAGAGAATGGACTCCAGACGCATACAGAAGAAGAGTGGTTATGACTAGAGGATATCTTGGAAGAGAATCAATGCGACCATGAGGAGTGTAATGATGAACATTAAGTCTATCGTATGTTTTTCTTCCAAATCCAATGAAAGTATCACATTTTTTTCTATTAATCTTAAAAACGGAGCTGTCCACATAGAAGTGTGTATTTTATACCTGCATGGAAACAGTCACGGAGCTTTGAAACATTGACGGGTGTAAAACAGTCCTCTTTTTTGTGTATTGTTTTGTTTCTGTCCTGAAGCCGTGTCTGGTGGTTTTGTCCACGATCGTCACGCGGGGAGGAAGTTAACGCAAGAATTGAAACCCTGCGATCTAAGTCCAAAGATTCATCCAGCCATGACCGAATTTGTGTCTGTGAATTCCGACATATTGTTATGTCCTCGACGCCTATACTGACTGTCATACGTAAATCGTAAATATGCATATGTATACACACCCCTTGTACATTTCCCCCAAACGCAAATAAAAGATGTCCACAGACGCAACGGGATGCACGATGGGTTGGAACGTGTCTCTCAAAATCAAACAAATAAAACTAATAAGGGGCGTTGTGATAATACCCTATACAACAGTACTGATCAAATCATCCTGCCGTAGCTGAAGCGTTTTATTTTGTAATAAATTTAAAAAAAACAAGAGCAGTAACTTTGATTACCTATAAAGGGGGCTATGTCTTCTGTCACAATAAAACGAAATAGACCAATGAGCCACCATCACCTCGAACTGAAGTACGCTAACAATTTACACAAGTGATTTGATTTTAGAGAAAGAGAAAAAAAACTTATGCAGCTTATTTTAAAATTTCATGGCTTCTTCTTAGCAGAATTACTCATACAATATGTATTTTGTATGAAAAAACACGAGTTCAAGTTGATACATTTTCAAAACGCAGTCATCATATATTTAAGATTGTAATCACTTTAAATTTTTCTACACAGTCAAGTATATGTACACGTAGTGTCTGTGTTGGCAAATAGTTGTCATGGTTACTCGAAACTACGAACAATTTGTTATCATTTTTTGCAGGACAAGAAATAAATATCTTGACAATTTTATTGGATTCATACGACTCGAAAATAAATATCTTTATGCCCTTTTTTTATACCGAAAGTTGTTTATTTTATAGTATTTTGTGACTGGATTTGAACCGGGCGGTCCACTCCATAATGGTATGATGGAAATTACGTGTTTTATTACCACGATCTGCACGTGGATTACTTTAGTTTGTCGTTATAATGTTAATTATCGATGTTTAGGAAAGTAAGCATCCAGTGTGTCACCAAGTGATATTTGTTCGATCACCACCCGGGTCTGTTTATTCTTTAATGTACAATATATATCTCGTTTGTCATATATACTGTTTGTTTCCATTGTTTCTATTGTCCCAGCCATAATTGTATAAATTTACTGACACGAATATCTGCACATGCGCACACGCTGTCAGATATATCAACACCACACGGGTATAATGACGCATTCTGCAAACCATTTTAATGTGTATTCCTAATTCAGAAACGCGTTGTGTGTGTTTTCTCAACAAAGGTTGTGATAATGTGGAGGGATACTAACAATGCCATGATTATAATGTGAATGAACAAAACTATTGAGATAAGGGATAGAGTTAATACAGAATATGGATAATTAAAACAGATAGGATAATCAGGAGGGACGTGAATCAACAGGGATAAGAAGGATATAAATGAGTTAAAGGGTTGTAACAAGTATGATGTAATGAGAAGAGATAAATATAATGGGAATAAATACGAATATGAAGTTAACGAGAAGTGATATGTGAGAAGAACAGAGATGCAACTGGATATTTCTTTTCGAATAATGAGAAGGGTCTGGGAAAACAAACCGGGATGGAAATAACGAGAAGGAATAAAGACACTGCGAAGGGTGGGTGAATAAAAATGGATGGAGATAATGAGAAGGGTTGGAAATAATGAGGAGGGTTGGGGATAATGAAGATGGATGTGGATAATGTGAAGGGTTAGGGTAATGAGACGGGATAGGAATAGTGAGAAGGAGTAGTGATAATGTGTGCAAATGAAGTTAATGAAAAGGCTTGGAGTAATGACAAGGTTCGGAGCGTTGATAAGCGCTGGGGATAACTGGAAGTGATATAGATAATGACAACAATTAACGGTAACTGTTGGGTATACTGAAAGGGGTTGAGATAATGAGAAAGATTAAAAAACAATTAGAAGAGATGAGATAATGAGAACAATGACAAGTGTTGGGGATAATGAAAAATGTTAGGAATAATAAAAAGGATGGAAAGGAGTGGCTGGAGATAATAAGAAGAATGGAGAATGGTGTCACAGTGTAAGTCCTGCTTATTGCTAATGCGAGAGCACCCACATAAAATAATGGATGCTGACAAATGGGTATAGTCAGAAAGTTTGGGGATACTAAGAAGAGATAGAGATGATGAATATGGGGTTGAGATACTGAGAAGAAATGTGCGGATAATAAGTATAATGATAATAAAACTGCATGGAATAAAGAGAAAGGTTGGAGATATAGATGAATTGGGTGGACATAGAAATAATAAAAATCAATGGGAAGATACAAATATAGATAAAGGTGATTGAGATAATGAAAGCGATGTAAAACATGAGAAATGGTAGAGATAATAAGGATATTGATAATGACAATTGATGGAGTAATGAGAAGGATTGGGATAATGAGAAAGATTGGGGAAAATTAGAAGGGTTCGAAATAATATTAGGGAACAATGAGGTAATGAAGGGCTTAGGTAATGAGAAATATTTGGAATAATCATAAGAAGACAGAGATGAGAAAGGATAGAGAAATGAGAAAGGATAATGTTAATTGGAATGTACAAAATAATGATAAGATAATGAGATAATGATATATAAAGAGAATAGGTTAGGGTAAAGATAATGAGAAGGAATATATATACTGAGAAGGGTTGTGGATAATGAAAGGATTAATTAGGTGGAATAGAAATAATGAGATGAGATGACATAATGAGAAATAAAACAGACATTACCAACTGTTTCTTAGATCTGGTTTACAACTCTGGCAACAGGAATAGTGGGATAAGGTAAATGGCTCTGACTCTTAGCGTTACTGAACTGGCACAAAGCTTGTTCACCATAGAATTTGTGACAGACTCACCTTTCCCACAGATAAGATGCTCAAGCGCTTTGACGAGTACAATTGGAAAGCTTACTGATGTACAACCGAGCAGTTTTGTTCATAATGTTTGTTCTGATGATAGCATTCTCAGACGTTCCACATAGAGACAGAAGAGTAACAAGAGAAACCATGCCATGCTCAGTTCGGTGCTATCAGTGTTATCACAATTTTGTTGATCTACTGTAATTTCAGCGATACTAAATACAACAGCTGGCATGATGAGAACGCATTCACATCCAGTTACTCCTGCATCTTCGATAGGGAATCACATACAAACACTTGTTATTTGTTGTTCTGGTTTGAAAACACGTGTATGGATGGTTTTTGCCCATAGATGAAAACATCGTCTGTTGGTGACTGATCAGATTGACTGCCTCTGACAAGAGAGATCCTTCGCTAGTGATTTCAGTTTGCCAACAGAGCGATCTGATTTTCTGACACCATTGAAGAAAGTCTATCACTAAAATGTTCAGTGTAGCTGACCTAGTGCTGGCATTATACGACAACAAATGAATCAGATGGATGAATTGAATCATCTCTGAATCATCTGGTGATATAACTCCTTCAACATCGCCTATCAATACTTGGAGTATGTTGTATGTTGTGTGGCACTATACACTGATACTACAATGGTAGCATACACGTAGCACACAAGGATTTGCAGTACAAGACCTGACATCAAATACCGTAAGTCCATTTGGCCTCGGACTGCAATCACTGAGCTAAACGTCAGACCTTCATCAAAGTACACCTACAAGCATCTTCTTGTTTAAACAACTCACTGCCATCTGGCTAACTCATCACCAATGCATCCACATGCATTCCATATGAAGTGTGTAAGTGTAATGACAAAACAACAATGACATACAGCAGAGACAATGACGTACAAGTCCCGAGTAAACTTTGAAGCAAATCTTTCATTGCATCATCATTCCTGGATAAACTGGATCAAATCTGGACAAGACATCGGTTCCAACAATTTGCCCCTCGTCTCAAAAAGTCAGGATCAGAGAGAATGTGACAAAATCGCTTGAAAGTGCATCTTGGATGTAGTACAAATATAATGCTTACATATTAATCGTAATGATGATTCATAACCGATCAAAGCGTATTCAAAATTGATTTGACTTAAAAACGTTTTTTGCAGTTTTAAACTGCAAAAATAAACTAGAATGCAATATATAAGAAGCAACGTGGATATAAAGCAAGTGGATAACTTGTGACATTGACTAGAGGTTCAGGATGAGTAATCTGAATGTTGATGTAATTCTTGACTATTGATGTTCGAGTAAGAAGAAGGCCTGGCCCTTGGTAAGTGTATGCAGGAACTTTGATGATGTTAATACATTGATTACTTGTTCATGTTACACCCAGAAACCTCATTTTAGACAGAGGTTATTTGTGGAGCCTAGCCATTCTTTATTCATTGTATTTTTTTCTATACTAAGCATTCACAACAATTAATGTACAAAAAACGATACATGGATCTCGAGATTAAGATCATAAAGGTATTTGCAGAAGAGTGAACATATTCTGCTCGGCCATATATCAGTCTATTCATGAAGGGACCTTCTACATAGAGCACATGATGTAGAAACAACCAGAGGTTATCTGCCCTAGTGATTAGACGTATTTTGTCACCAGTTTATCGTATCAATAAGTCTATGACGTTTCTTAAAGTCACCAAATCCAGTGCAAACTAGTATAATATCAAAGAAGCAAGGAAAGATGGAAAAACAAATCAAAAACATATCTTTTGTCGACAGTAGTTGTAGTAGAAAGATGACCCTTAGAGTAAAATATGAGGCAGACAAATTTGATTCTG